ATTTACTGAGTATTTTTTCGAAATACTCATTCCGTTACTTTAACGACATTTGCAGTATTTGGAGACGGTCGGCGTTGATTGGCAGTGTTGACAACGATTTAATGGATAAAGTTATACTTTTGAAATTTACGTATTTGAACGTTATTAACATACTTGTCATTTCAGTTATTTCAAAAACATGAGATTTATGATTTAATCAATTTTCTTAAATTAATCAAATGAGTTTTTGTTGTCGACGAGATTTCACAATTATAAATGTGAAGTTTAAAATTTAGTTATTTTTCACAAATCTTTTTAGTTAATTCAAGACAAATGAGGATGACGTGGCACTACGGGTTCACGGAACTCGGGCCGTTACAACAAGGATTTCTTCATATTGACATAAAACAAGCAGGAGAATCCAGCAAGAAGGAAAGTGATTGTGTGTGCATAATTTAGCATGCCTTAGAATGATAATCATGGCCATTAAAATAGCATAGCAACACAACCACAAAGGCCGGTTTGCAAATGTAAGCCTTACCAAGATAAGCCACCATATAAATGGCCCTACTGTCAGAAATTCACATTTAATTTGTCCAAATCCCTAAATATACCCTGAATCTACCAACAATGCGAGACGGGAAGTTGTTACAATGCTTGAGACTCAAAAGTCATTAAGCATCGGTCTTTACAATTGGTCCAGTAAGATTGGCTGATAGAAGCACATTAAACCATCAAGATTCATCTCCTCTCTAGTATTTATATTTTCAATTAAGAATAAATCAACGAACCTTGAACCGAGGCCACTAGGGTCTATCATGTGCTATACGGATATAAAAATGTAGAACTGGCAAGTGATGCTACATGCATCAGAGATATAGATTGAGGAAGCAGAACAGTAAGAAAGAGAGGTAGGGAGAGAGAGAGAGAGAGAACCTTTCACAGGTTTGTCTGATCTAGGTGCTAAGAGAGATGGATGAGCCGCAATCCATGTTTTCAAAGATCTGCAGAAAAAGGTCTGGATCTATAAGAAACCAATACACAGTTTGGAGATAGCACAAAATGCATGCAAACAAACTCACTTAAGAAACGGAGCAACCATGTAAAGCTTGAGGCCAGTGGTCGCACGAGATATAACATCATCACTTGCTGGATGAAGTTCATCAAGTCGGTGCCATGCAATTTCCTGAATAATATACCAACATAGTTTAGTTGTCCTAAATCAGATTTGATAAACATGCATTCACACAAGATTTAGGCATTTATATGGATAAAACACATAATGGATAAGCAGAAAAGCTTATATTTTTCCTTTTCTTCCAGAAAGATCTAGGCAAAGGTGAGAACAGAAAACAGAGAGAAAAGAAAAAATAAGTTCAAGCTTAAAGATATAAAGGCATTGCCACAAAATGAAGCTGGGAAGTTTCGAGCTTTTCAATGGAAAAATGACTTACACTTATCTCTTTTTTAGTGAGAGGAGCAAAGGCTGTATCATCTTTCACTCCAGCGACTATATACAGCCTCACTCTCTGCTGTCCAAAAATCATTTCAATGTAGTCATCTTTGTTAAGAAGTTTTGAAAAATCAAAACCTGTTTCCTCCATGACCTGCATCCACACAAAATGAAGTCAGAAGCATTTTATTGCTTTGAGCATTATGTGAAGAGAAGGGATCAGATTTTAGGAGGCTATAACTATAAACATTTTGAGAAATACATATCAATTAAATACCGGATCATTATTGATTGGTAAGAATGTTCCTTTAGAGCGGTTATGAATTGCATTGATGGACTAAAGGCGGGGAACATATTTTCCTTTCCTATTAGGCTTTTCAAAATTAAAGGATACATTTGACTTAAAAATTGGATAATGATGGACAATTGACATTGAGAAACCCAACATGATTGACTTAGCATTGTATCTATATGCCCTGAAAGACATATCAAGTAATTAGTCAACTTTCACACACTCAAAAAATGGAAGGACATGTACATGCCTGAAGTAGAAGGAACCTCAAGTAACATATTACAATAATGTACACGATAGCACATTTTCGATTCTCATGAACCCCAGCATTCTAGAGGATACTGCTACAAATCGTTGAATAAAATGACAAATGCCACGGGAAGAAATATAGACATACTTCTCTGATGGCACAATTGTGGTCTTCCTCATCTTTATTCTTTTTCCCACGGGGAAAGCTCCAGCTTGTTCCTTTCCACCCCTTCACTAGTAAGCACTGATTTTGTTGTCATAATAGTTCAAAGCAAAAAACTGGAAAAGTAAGTGGTATTCAAAAAACTTTAGGAAATCTAACTCAATAGAAAAATTTGCTTCAAATACATTTGTCAAAGTAAATAAGAAAATAAGTTATTTAAAGTTAATTTTCCATTCATTGAACACCTTTGTTTCTATAGAAACTTTCATGTAATAATACTAGTTTACATTTTAGGGATTTTTACTGTTATAAAAATTCGAATCATTAACTATCTTACTGAATTCCAGAGACATTCTGATAACGACAACATCTGCACAAACTTTCAATCCCTAAATCTTCCAAATAAATCTTAAAAATAGAAAATTAAAATAACGAAATCATTCAAAATTCTCATAGCAGATGCATCAATCAGAAAGAAAGACATATACCCACAAGCTGGACAGAAAGAGAAACAAGTTATTTGAATTTTTTAAAGTTATTTAATTATTTCATTCTCTCTTTTTTATGTTAAGGTTTAATAGCTCATATTAACCTAACGAGGTACAATGTCAGCTCTTGAAAGTTTCAGTTCAAGGTCAACAGGTAAGTGTTAAAAACATGCACACTGAATGTAGAAAGTAAAGACTGTCATAAGAAAAAAAGAGAGAGAGAGAGATGAAACGATAAAGGAATATTCAAGAATGTTATAGTCCCCTACTTAAGGATTAAATAATAGATTTGGAGCCCATGCTCAAAAGATATTACCCGTTCATAAGTTTCATCCAGTATAATGGCCCCTGTTACTGGAACTCGAACCTTATACGAAGTGAAGTCCTTAAATATGTCATCTATATGGGCAACATACGGCTTCAAAACATCGCAATTGTTAAATACTGCATTATATTAAGGAACATGTGTATGATCAGATATTAAAACATGGTATAAACATGCACCCTCACAAACATTCCACATTCATATAAAAGACACAAAAAAGTGAAAAGACTAGGCAAATATAAGACCTAACAGATAGCCGTCTCAAATAAGTCATAATTATAGATGTGAAGCTTGTCACTTTTCTGAGTCAGAGTACGTCACATGGTACCAATTCAAATTCCAAAGGAAAGACTATATGCTTAGTAAGTCCAACGAACGTATCAATCCAATCAACGAGGAGACAAGAAAAAAAATTGAGCCCCCTTTGACTCCTAATAAGGATGCAAGAATATGCAATCTATGTAGACAATATAGAGGATACATAGAGTAGTAAATTCCTTTAGAGTCAATGACTTCAAAGATGGATTCTTCTCCACAGAGTTATCTTCATAAAACCAATGTGCATACTCCACAAGAAACAAAATCCTCTCAAAAGATTGCTGGTCTTCTTTCGGCACGTTCAGAACAAACCGACTGCATAGAAAATGAACACATTTAACAGAAATAGAAACAATGCAATTACAAGTACATGACCTTAAAAATATAGTGAACTGGGAAAACACCAACCGGAATTGATGATGATACATGTTCATCACTGTTCAAAGAAAAAGTGCACCAAAACAATCTTTACTAAGAGTTAATCATTCATCATGTGTAGCCAAAAGCATACTGACATCTTTGCCAAAAGAAAACAATTGATTAACATTTTCCTCATATTTTAAGCATTTCAAATGTCAGTAATGATTGCTTTAATAGTTTACCAAATAGATTAATGTCATGAGATTAGACCATAAAAGAATATAAAACAAAGAGGAAACATATAGACACGTCTTCTCTATTTCCTGGTTCATTAGCTCTTGACCACTTTTTTATCTATATGGTTCAAGCAATTATTTTCTAATATTTTTTATAATCATTTAGCATCTTCCATTTGGATAAAATGAAAGATGTTGTACAAGTAGTCTAGCGATTCGAATTTCTTCCATGATTCAATTTCTACCATAACATATTTATTAGTAATTATCCAAATAAATAAAACTTGACCAAAATTGAAAATAGCTTTTACTTTTACCCGTTATTTTTTTTTCCTTTTTTGTGATCAACTATAAATTGATTGTAGAGATACAAATGATCGATTTAATAAAATCGACTAAAGCAAAAAAAAAAAAAATAATAATAATAATAATAATAATAGTTAATCTAATTCATGACTTCAAATTTCAACTACTTTAACCTATGAACTCCCACTTTACCTTTTAAAAGTTTCAAACAAGAAAGTCCCAGTTTCCATTTCTCGTGAACTAAAAAATAGTAAAAGAACATATTCGTGTAACGTATGTATGTATGTTTGAAAATACCTGCAGAGATCGTCGAGGAGTTCTTGAGGAGGGAGGACGTTTTTCGAAGCAGCGCTCGAAGATCGATGAAGCCCACTTGACATTGTTTATCATCAATAATTCCAACACTAATTTCAAACTTCCATGTACACAAATTCAAAAGCCTGGTATATAAAGGAGGAATGGGGGTTTTGTAGTCTGATGAGTCAAAGAGGGAATTATATATCGGAGAAGGTAAAAAGTGCAGAGACTTGGGGGAATTATTAAGGACCAAATTTGAATAAGAAAATGAAAAGAATCCATTTTTAATATTTATGTAAAGTGGTCTCTATTCAGCTCCTGTTTGAAAATTATTAAAACAAAACTTTTTTANGCATCGGAATAAATTTTACACTCATAAATTTTTAGGGACTAATTTGGAGTTTTTATATTATTGTAGTGGCTCCTAGTTGCAATTTATGTATGAAGGGTATTTTTGGAAATTTTTATTTCTGTAACTATTCTGTAAGTGAATAGTTCTGTAAGTATATCTTTTTCCTTTGTAGTCTGATGAGTCAGAGAGGGAATTATATATCGGAGAAGGTAAAAAGTGCAGAGACTTGGGGGAATTATTAAGGACCAAATTTGAATAAGAAAATGAAAAGAATCCATTTTTAATATTTATGTAAAGTGGTTTCTATTCAGCTCCTGTTTGAAAATTATTAAAACAAAACTTTTTTATTCAAACTCATTTTTAACCACACATTCTCACAATAAAATATTTTTCATATAAATTCAAATTTTTTCCTACCTTTCAATATTACATTTTCTAAAAAAAATTATTATTGAAAATTTTTTCAAAAAAATATTTTTAATGATGGTCAAACGAGGACTCATTATTCTCAGCGTCATTTGTGCTCCATCCTCTTACACTTGTTGGCACATTTTGAGTCATTTCACCCTCATTTCATGCACGTGATGACTCCATATAATTTTGGATGATTGTGCCTCTGAAGATGAAATTCGCCAATTAATTGAAAATTTGAGTTAAATTTGTCACAAAAAGATTAATGACAAGGTTGTGAAGAAGCTGAATGTTGGGATAGTGGCAATAATTTATCAACGGGTTAATTTCACAAACGGTCAGTTAAGTTACGTCGAAATCACAAAACGATTACTGAAATTTAAAACTTGAACTAACGGTCACTAAAATTACGTTTGATTTCAATAATGGTCACTGAGGACCTTTTCATTTTAATTGGAACTTAATGGACCAAAATAGTTGAATGTTGAACCTAGAGGACCTAAATCGCAAATTCACAATAACACCCCCCACCCCCCCCCCACCCCCCAACAAAAAAATTTCATTTCTTTTTGCTATGATGTTTCACGAGAATGGAAGCCGATTTTGGGAGCGAATTATGGTAAAAATCATTGCTAATATTATCCAATTAATTCTTCACAATCCTTAGTTTGAGCTTCCAATCAAGAATCACATTTTCAAACATATACTTCTCCAATTTTTGTTTTTGTGCCAAGATCTAAGATTGAGGTTCACTCACGGACAAGAAATTATTCGACATGTCGGATGTGGAGGAACAAGGTAAAGGTTAGCACTTCTTTTTTAACCTTTTTTGGTTGTATTAACTCTTCAAGTAGCATACAATCTCTTTTAATGAGCTGGACATTAGTTGGGTTCTTTCGTTAGCTGTATTGTATTAACTCTTCATGTTGGACAGTAGTGGGTCCTTTTGTTGTGCAAGAAATTGCTATATTGGAGGAGGAACATGTTTGCTTTGACACATTCCACACGTTCTTATTTTCCAGGCACTACATTGTCAGCTAAGAAATTTATAATATTCTATTGTCCAAGTTATTTGAACAGCGATTCGGATAAAGAAGATATCACATTCAATGATTCCGATTATAGCCTTGGTGAAGAAGAGGACATTCTCTTTGATGAAAATGTTACCCAGAATATTGAATTGATACGAGGAATGAGATAGTGTCGTTGGAAGAAACAAATGAATCTGACAATTCTGAATATGTACCCTCATATGATCTTCAAAGTGTGCATTCCGACAGTGACGAAGAAGTTGTTACATACCCAAAATTTAATGGTGAAGTAGATATGGTGGATCTCGTGCTTGATGTAGGACTTTAAGTTTAGGTCGAAGAAGGAGGTAAAGGCTGTGGTTAAAAATTTCAGCATTCATAATAGGTTTGAGGTGATATTTCTGTATAATGATAAAAATCGATTAGAAGGTCGTTGCAAAGGAAAAAAGTGTCCATGGCGTATTTGGGCTTTGCCATTGGAGGGAGATTCATCGTGGCAGATTAAATTGTTCAAATGGAATCATAATTGTAGTAGAGAATTGAAGAATATAAGTGTACCCACTAATTGGTTAGCCCATAGATATATTGAGACCTTTACTATTGTGCCAAGGTGGGATGTGAAATTGTTGAAGGCAAGTGTTTTGAAAGAGTATGGTGTAAAGATTAGTGATACAAAGGCATGGAGGGCTAGGAGATATGCTAAGGAGTTGCTTAGAGGATCGCTTATTAGACAATTCGGTTTGTTGGGTTCGTATGCAGCTGAGGTTAGGAGAACAAACTCATGATCAACTGTTATACTATCTTTAGACGACCTTGTGTTTAAAGCGATTTATGTTTGCTTCGATGCTTGCAAGAAGGGCTTCTTGCGTGGTTGTAGACCAGTTATTTGCATAGATGGATGCTTTTTGAAATGCAATTTTTGGCGGTCAGTTGGTATTGATGGGAATGATTGTATATTCCCAATTGCGCATGCCATTGTTGGAACCGAAGATAATGCTAGCTGGTCATGGTTTTTGAAATTGTTAGAGGAAGATTTGACGTTCAAAAATGCTTATGGAGTCACAATTATGTCTTATAGACCAAAAGAGTTAGAGAATATGGTGTCTGAGTTGTTTCCCATGGCTGAGCATCGGTTTTGTGTAAGGCACATGTACTCCAACTTCTTTCGCAAAGACTTTAAAGAGTTGAAGCTTAGTGATTTGTTGTGGAGAGCAGCAAAGTCTACTTATTTGGCTGATTTTACATTTTGGATGGAGAAAATGAAGGATGAGAATAAACTTGCCTGGGAGTGGTTACGTGCTAAACCAGCCGAGCAATGGTCAAGTCCCATTTCATGATAGCTTCCAAATGTGACATTTTGTTAAACAACCTCTGCGAATGTTTTAACAACTACATAAAGGAAGCGAGGAGGAAGGATATTTTTACTCTTCTTCAGTCAATACAAAACAAGGTGATGGTGTGGATGTACAAACATCGCGATATGATGGCAAAGAGTTCTAGTGATATATGTCCAAAAATTGTAAAGAATCTTGAAATGAGTACACATGATTCTTTTTCGTAGAAAGCATTATTCAATGGGAAAATGCAATTTCAAGTTTCTGGACCTTATTCCGATGGTCAGTTTGTGGTAGATTTACAAAACAGGACATGCTCATGTAGAAAGTGGGATCTAACTGGTGTGCCTTGTCCACAGGCAATGGCCGGCATCCGTGAGTGGGGTAAAGATCCTTTACAGCTTGTGGACGAGGGCTACAAAGTTGCAACTTATTTAAAAGTTTACGGGAATTGCATATACCCTATAAATAGACCAAAAATGTGGCCTTCGAGTGTCTTCGACCCCATAAAATGCCCAACGTGGGTGACCAAAAAATGAGGTAGGGAGCAAACAAAGCGGCCGAATAGGGGTTGAGAAAGCTGTATTGTCCAAAGAGAAGATAAAGAAGATTGATAGGAGAGGTGATGGCAAGAAGAGAATGAAACGTAGTATTTGAGTCAAACGGGTCACGATAAAAGATACCACTCGAACCATGATTCCCAGGCAAGCTATACACCAAATGAGTTATGTACTATATTATAGTTGTAGGAGTATATCCTATTTTTGTTTTATTTATTATGTTAGTTGACATCTTTTTTCATGAATTGTAGGACATAGATGGTTCGATGGAATGGGAAGTCGCAAAAACAAATGTTGGACATCAATTTGCCAATTCACAGCCAACTAATGGTGGAAATGAACAACGTGTAGTGCGGCGTTTTCTTTCCCAGACTACTGATGGTGCTAGACAAATAGGGTTTGGTGGTTCGACGTCCTTTGTGCAAAATCGAGAACTAATTTCAATAGGAAGGCATTTGTACCTCAGCAAAGGCCAAGAGTTGGTGGAAGTTCGAACTCAACTCTTAGCGAAGCATGAAACAACTTGATGACGAATGAAGCGGGTTGAAGTCTATCATATGTTTTTTGACAACGAACTCTATTTTGATAGCGACCATCTAGTTTTTGTCATTATTCCTTTTTTGATGAAATGTGGAAGATTGTGAGTGATATTTCACTCATAACGAACTCTATTGTATGCGTTGATTGATATTTCACTCATAATATAAATGTCATTATAGCATTACTCATCGGGTGTGCCAATTACGTATTCTAGTCACTGCATTCTACTCATCAATAAAGCAGCAGCAAATTTCATTCTGCTCATCAATTGCAGTCATCAAGGACCTAAAGGCCACATGATAGCATTAATCATCACAATTAACAAAAATGAGAATGTACCTTATTTTAGGCTAAATTTGTGATTTAGGTCCTCAAGGTTCAACATTCAACTATTTTAGTCCATTAAGTTCCAATTAAAATGAAAAGTGTTGACCTATGGTTGATCACGAC